TGGAAACCAGCCTGAGATACAGGCGACTCTGTGTTGTCCCCACCCATGGGGAAAAGAAAGAGTCTGGAACGACATACCTCAGTATCTCAGTGTTTAGCCAGAATCCACCAGGCCCTGGATTTCACCCCCAATATATATAATAATAATAGTAATACAGGTGCTTTTCAGCATGATTGGTTCCTTGAGAGAGACTGTCCCAGGTGGCTCGTCCTCTTGGGGTTAGTGACCTTTGGGCTTCCTTCGCCTATAGGAACATCACCCACCCACCTCTGCCTCTGTCCACAAGTCTGTGTCCAGATTTCTCCTCCTATACAAGGTCCTTTTGAGACCGGGCCCTCTCCCGCACTGTGCCCTCCTCCAGCAGGGCCCCTGTGTCTTCACGGGTCACATGCTGAGGAAGGAACATGGCGGGGCGTGTCTCTGTCTGCCTGTCACACAGACCGTATGTGCAGCTCTTGGCGGTGGCGGCGGGATCTTCCTGTGGGGGGCGGGTTTCGTGGTCACACTGCCCTCTTTTTATCTGCTCTGTCTATCTGCTTCTGGAAGCAGGCTCTTTACAGCCGTCATGCCCATGGTGGCAGCTGGATTGATCCTTGATGACCCCACGTTGCAGCCTGTGCGAAGACTCGTGTCCCTCGTAGGCACTGTCTGTGTTTGGGGGTGTTTTTCTGGGGTTTTTTTGCTGTGCCTTTAGAATGGCTGTGGTGGCTTCCGCCAGCCTGTCCCTTGTGGCCAGTTCAGTTGCATGGCCCGTCACCTGCTTGTTGGCATCTCAAGTGGGTGTGGAAGTGTGATTGCCACTGTTGCTCTTGACCTCCACGAGTGCAGCCGGGAATGTCACCGATAATTCTTTCTGTCTCTTCTGTTTTGGCTCTAAAAACCACCTTGTCCATGATCCAGTAAAGAAGGTCCTTTAAGTGACGGGTCAGTAATCGATGCCCCCGGCCCCCACCCCCCACCCCCCACCCTCGGGATCCAAGAGTGACACTAACTGCTCTGCTTTCTCCCTCCCCGTGCTGAAGCTTTTTAAACAGCTTTGTCTTGGCAGCTGTTCGGTTTGGTGCAGAAAAGTGGGGGCAGGGGGGTTGGTATCTGCAGGTGGCTTTCCTACGTCAGGCTGAGACACCACAGGGAGGAGGCTGCAGTCGTGGGCTAACTAACTCCGTGGCTGCTCTGTGTCAGAAAGAGCACCCCTCCCCCCCCCCCCCCCCCCCCGTTCAGTGTGAACCCTCGCCTCGCCGGCTCACACTCGCCCTTCAAAGCCCTAGAGAATTTCCCCAGGTGAACTTGGCTTAAGGATGAAAGAACATTCTATTCCTGCTGGAAAGGGAGTGTAGCTCCAGTCGCCCCGGAAGGGGAACATCCTCTTCACTAGACGTGACTGTAACAAAACCCCCGGGACTCGGAAGTCGGCAAATGTGAGGAGCTGAGTTCGGATCTCCAGGACCCATGTCAAGTCAGATCCCGGAGCTCCTGTACTCCCAGCTCTCCTATTGAGGGCAGGAGAGAGGAGATGGCAGTCGGTGAACAAGAGACCCTGACTCAAACAAAGTGTAGGGGTCTGCAGAGGGCTCAGCAGGCAAATGTGCTTGATGCCAAGCATGACCCCCCCGAGGTTGAGGCAGGAGGATCACAAATGAAAAGCTAGCCTGGGCAATTTGGCAGAGTCTTGTAAGATGACTGTCAGTGGGCAGAGGGTTGGTGAGATGGCTGATGGAGTAAACATGCATGCAGCTAAGCCTGTGGACCTGGGTTCAATACCTGGCACCTAAGATGGAGTGGATGGAGAGAACTGATTTCCTCAAGCTGACTTTAGACCTACACACACACACACACACTCACACACTCACTCTCACTCATACACATACACTCTCACACACTCATACACACTCACACACACGCTTACACACAGTCTCACATACTCTCATACACAAACACATACACACATGTGCATTCACACACTCACACACTGGAATTGTGGTTCAGTGGTAGAACACGTACGTACCTAGCATGCGTGGCTACGAGGGCTGGCAAGATGGCTCCGTGGACTGAGGCCCCGACCAGCAAGGCTGAGAACCTGAGAACCTGAGATCAACCCCAGGCACCCACACAGTGGAAGAAGAGAACCGACTCCACCGTTTGTCCTCTGATGTCCATACAGGAACCATGTCACTTGACTGCCCACACACTCATACATACACATGAATGAATGAAGAATGAATGAATGAATATTAAGAATGGGTTTGCCTCAGAATCATCTCCTCACAACTTTCAGGTTCTTTCAAAGAATCATTAGATTAGAGAAATTTCTAGGCTGGAGCTGGGGCTCAGTAGGTAGAGTGCCCGCCTAGCATGCACAAGGCCCTGGGTTCGATCTCCCGCATCCCATAAACTAAGCATGGTGACTCATGCCTGTAATCCCAGCACTTGGGAAGTAGAGACAGAAGGAGTTCAAGGTCATCCTCAGCTATGTAATGAGTTTGGAGACCAGCTTAAGGTACCTAAGACCCTATCTCTAAAAATGAGGGGAAAAAAAAAATTCCTGGGCCGAGTGTGTAGCTGAGCATAGGGCCCTTACACCTGGCCTTTGTGAGGACCTGCGTTGTGTTAATTTGTTTGGGGGTTTTTGATCCCCCAGTAGTAGCCAGGCGGAAGGTCCTGCCCACCCCCACCCCCCACCCCATCACATCCATGCAAACTGCTCATTCTGTGTGAGCGCAAAGGATCTGGGACGGAATGACACCCCGAAGCCCCGGTGCTTTCTAGACTGCTGACTGCATCCCCATACTGAGAATGGATCTCCTCCCCTCAGTGTCTGTTCCTGTGTGTCCTAGCATTGAAAGGGGGGTAGTTAGAGCAGCGGCCGGCAAGCGCTTATTCCCATCTTTGTTTTTTCTCTCCCCGTTCCCAAAGGTTTAGCTTTTTCTCCCGGGACAAGAAGCGCCTGGCCAACGCGCAGAGACCCATGCACATCCACGAGTCCTTTGGCCAGTGGGCGAACACCCACCGAGATGACGGGTACACAGAACAGGGGCAGGAAGCCCTACAGCATCTGTGACCGTGCCTGCCTCCCGGACCGCCCGCCGCCTGCCCCGGGTGGCTGCCTCGACATCGACCCCTCAAACGAACTGTCTGCTTTGAGGAGGGATGATGAGAAACTGATGCCAGATTCTAAAGAAGTGTTTATTTATCTGCAGGGCTACCCAGTTTATACGCAACGCCTCTGACCCCTTAGCACCTATATTTAATAAGACAAGGATCTGAAGCAAGACCTCGTTAATTTTAGTAACAAGCTTCCCGTGCTGAACACATCACTTACCACCTACCATGGCTGTTTGACTCCTAGGTTTAGTTGTTGTTTTCTTATGGCCTTTGTCATGTTAGCGAGAGGCCGTGGAAGGAGAGTTTTATATTAGGAAGTTGCCCTGGTGGTAGCAGGTTGTACAGGATGTATGGATCGGACAGGCGGAGCCTCTAGTCCTGGGATGAGCTGCCCGACTTGGATGGGACACAAGAGAAAATCATCACAGTCCTCCCGGCCACCGGCTGGAAACAACCTTGGGATTGTCACTTGCTCCTCCTGGTAAGGCTTAGAGGCCCAAGCGGCCTGTCCGAGGTGGTGTGCCTTGGAATCTGCTATGGGCTGCTACACAGTACTAACCAAACAAAGTTGTTTAGGATGAGACATCAGCGTGTTTTCCTGTCATCTTTTCTTCATGTTCCTTGTGTGACATACTGGGTCCTTTGCAAAGAAGACAATGCCTTAAAGTGGGTGGGGTGCCAGGCTCATGAGCCTGGGTGATACGTTATGGCGGATAGGCAGGGGCTTGGGGATCACACGTGGGCCTGGCTGACCCACGGTTGCCATGGCTATTAGAAGACCTGGAAGCTGGCCCGTGTGCTTTCTGCTGATGAACAGAGCAATCAGGGTTCAGGGCATCAGACTGTAACACTTCCTAAGATCATAGGATGGATGGGACCGTGCCCGGTGCATTGTACTATTTTTGCTAAGAAATTGGGTGAATGTGAGCATGGGGGTGCATGCCTATAGTCTCACTGTGGCTCCAATGTGACTGACATCAGGAGCTCCAGCCACTTCCTGACAGGAGGTAGAAAATTCCATAGCAACTCATTTTTTTTTTTTAAAGCTAGGATCTTTTTATATGGCCCTAGCTGGCCTCAGACTCTTAACCGTCCTGTGTCTCCCAAGTGCTGGGTTGACAGGCTTGTGCCACCATGCCAGGCTGGGCGCCGGTAGCAACTTTTACTATTGTATTTGTGATGTGTGCGCCATGGTGCTCACGTGGAGCTCACATGACAACTCGCAGAAGTCGGGTCTATCAACCGTGGGTTCTGGGGATTCAGTTAGGCTTTCTTTAAGAGACCTGACTATATTGTATGTGTTTCTATGAATGCCTCCATGTGTCTGTATGTGACACAGGTACCTAGTGCCTGAGGCCAGAAGAGGGTATCAGATCAGATCCCCTAGAACTGGAATTACAGTCATGTATAAGCCACTGTGTGGTACTGGGAACCAACCCCAGGTCCTCTGCAAGAACAGCAAGTTCTCTCAGGTGCTGAGCCATCTCTCCAGCCCATACAGCATGGACTTTTAGGCTCTGAGCCAGCTTGCTAGCTCTCCAGTGGCAATCTTTAAGTCTTGAGAGCAGTCTTCAAGTTCACAGAACCTCAGCTGCCCAGCAGACCTGAATCCAGATAGTCAGAAAAAGGGAACCGTGGCCCTCCCATTCTGTCCTCTCCCTCATGCTGAGGTCTCTTTTCAGAGGGCTGGAAGTCGCAGGCTACAGCTCACAGCCCTGCGAGACTGCTTTGCACCATAAATGCCAGCCAGGGGAAAGCAGGCAGTCAGCGTTTCTGCAGGGCGCGGGTGATGCCCACTTGCGAGCGGGTGATGCCCACTTGCGAGCGGCTGTCTGCTGACCCAGATGCTCAGCCTGCTGCTGTCTGGTTATCGCGGGCTGGACAGTTCTCCCAGTACGTGGCTTTTCTAGCCTGTTTTTATTTCAATTCAGCAAAGCCTAAACACAAAGATGGGAAAGACAAGGCACCCCAGGAGTCAATGTCGGTGTTACATCCAGTTCTTGTAGGTTATCGAGACGAGGTCTTATTTTGTAACCCAGGCTGGCTTCAAACTCGCAGTCCTCCTGCCTCACCCACCCCAGTGCTAGGATGAGGGTGTGTGCCACCGCTAGGCTATTTGAGGGCTGTAAGGGCACTATCCCCTCTGCAACATTGAACCCTACCTCGAAGGGTGTGAGAAAGAAGACACACTCTTGATTATCCCTTCTTTCTCTGGTCTGATACCTGTCTCCACCGCCCCGGTGCTGGGAGGGCAAGCATGTGAAAACATGTATTTCCACAGGGGACGGGTGACTTCTCATACAGCTGTCTCCTCTCCCATCGTCTGTGGCCCTGTAGTGGAGCATTGCCCAGCATGCCATGCTCTCCGTTCAAGCCTCAATACTGCAAAAGCACAGGCCTAGGTCTGCCTGAGCCTGGGTTCTGTACTGGAAAGGGAACTGGCCCAGCCTGATGGCCCGGGGGCCTCTGGGTAGTCTCTGAGCCTGCAAAGCCTGCCTGCCGCTGGCTCTACTTGCTCCTGTCCCTCTTGTCCCTGCCTTTGGCCCTGTCCTCCCTGAACTCCCTCTCGCGTTCCCAATCATTCTCGGGCCACACCCTGGCCAGCTCCCTCTCCGGCCAGCGCTTCTCCCGGCCCCTGTCATGGTCCCGCTCCCTGGGCCTGGGGTCCCAGTGTCTGTCCCGGGATCGAGATCGCTCCCTCCGTGCTCTTTTTCCTTCTCTGTGCGGCTCGTTCTTGACAACGGGCAGGTTGATGGGTTTCCGGAAAGGCCGGTCCCGGCCCCCGAACCTCAGCTGTCCAGATTCCTTCTTCCCACCCAGCCCACCGCCCAGCCGCCGAGGGATCCAGCCACGGAGGGTGCGCTCCAGCTCGTAGTCCACGAAGATCTCGTGCTGGTCGATGACCAGGCCGTCAGCGTCACGGTAGGCCTTCAGCAGGGCCCGCTCCTCCTTGTACTCGATGAAGGCGTAGCCCTTGGAGAAGCCGGTCACCAGGTCCCGAACCAGCCGCAGGCGCCGGATGTCACCATAGCGGGAGAAGACTTCCTTTAACTTCTCCTCCTTGGTTTGCAGGTTCAGTCGTGCCACAAACAGGGTAAGGAGGGGGTCTCCGGTAACGCCTTTGTTGGGTACGTAGCGGGCCAGCATGGCCCTCCACACAGCACGGTCATGAGGGTCTTCATCTGTGCCATCAATGCTGCCAGCTTTAAGTGGGTCATATTCCTTGGCGATGGGCATCCAGTCGCTCATGTTCTAGAATAGTAACAGCAAGCAGGCATGAAGCTCCTAGGCTTCTCCAGCCTCACCACGGCTGTGGAAAGCCGTCAGTCACCCCGTTTTGTGGAGGGTGACTCTCACTATATAAGGCCTCCTTTATAGCCCCAAGCTGGCCCTGAACCCCGCATCTTCCTGCCTCACCCTCCTGAGTGCTGGGATTACAGGCACATGCCACCAACGTCACTGCCCATGATGAGGGCAGTGGGCTCAGGACCAGGGGCTTTCTTCTCAGCTCCCGACAGGGTGACCCACCTGTGCTGACCAGGAGAGTAAGTGAGCCCCACTGGAGCTCATTCCTCCTGACACATGATAGTTAGGTCACACTCCGGAAAGCTGCTGACAGACCACTAACCCTTCAGACCCGATGCTGAAATCTGCTGCTTACAACTGCGAGTCTGAGACACACTTGGAGGCAGCTTCTTCCTAACAGTATCTTTCCATGTCCCTAAAAATGATATTAATACCTGGCCATGATAGTGTGCAGCACATGCAGTCCCAGCACTCAGGAGGCTGAGGCAGGAGGATTACCACAAGTTTGAGGCCAGTCTGGGCTACCTGTCTCCAAAAAAAAAAAAAAAAAAGAAAGAAAGGAAAAAAAAAAGACTCAGCAGTTAAGAGGCAGTTCTTGCAGAGGACCCAGGTTTGGTTTCCCAGCACCCATATGGGTGGCTCACAACGGTCTGTAATTCCAGTTCCAGGAGATCTGAACCCCTCTTCGGATGTCTGTGAACACCAGACGTGCATATGGTGCACAAATATACATACAGGCAAAATACCCACACACACAAAAATAGAGTTTAAAACAAAACAAAAATAAAAAAGGGGGCAAGGTAGCACACACCTGTCATCTCAACACTTAAGGAGTAGAGACAAAACACCAAGGTCATCCTGGGCTAGTTCAAAGCTGAACATCACACAGCCTTCTGCTGAGTCGAAAAAGGAGGATGGTACCAACTTGTCACTGACAACAAGGCGGCGGCGGCGGCGGCGGCGGCCCTGGTGCCCTGGTCAGTAAAAGGATGGCACACCGCCAGACAGCAGCAGGACCACAAGTGAGGCTTCCCTGCGCTCTGGCTCTAACCCTTTGCTCTTTTTTTTCTCCCTGATGCATGGAATTCCTCCAGGTGAAAACCAGAACAGGCTGTTTGTTGTTAGGACCACCTCTCCCTGCTCTGGAATTCTCTGGAGATTCCTTTGTATTGAGCCATCGACTCTTGGGAGGAGAATGAGCTCTCTCATTCCATTGCAGGGTAGCTGTGAAAACACTGTGGAAATCCAGCAGCTTGGACCCAGCACTCAGGTGGCGCCAATTGGTTGTGCTGAACTCCTGACTCCCCCCCACCTGCCGGCAATACAAAGTCAAGGTGGCGTGCGGCCGCTGTCACTTCTGCCCGGTTTTTATTTTTATTTATTTAACTTTTTTTTTTCCTTTAAACTCAAAACTATTCTGGAATTTGAAATGAAAGAGAGACAAGGTCTCACACAGCCCAGGCTAGCTCTGACATTCCTATCTAGTCAGGGATCCTTAACTTCTGATCCTCCTCACCTCTACCTCCATGTGCCAATACTTGAAGTTTAGTGGGAGCTGAGCTGGAACCCAGCGCTTCTTGCACACTAGACAACCACTCAACCAAATGAGCCCCATCCCCAGCCCTTCACTCAGTTTTGGGGTGGCGTCTCTTATTTATGAGTAATTATAGCACAAATAAACTTTGGGGGGGGGTGATTTTATGTTGTTTTCTGAGACAGAGTCTCACTATGGAGTCCTGGTGTCTGTCCTGGAACTCAGGATATACACCAGGCTGGCCTCCAACTCCGAGAAACCGGCCTGCCCCTGCCTCTCAAATGCTGGAATTAAAGGCGGGTGTTTTGTTGTCTTCTTTCGTTTTGTTTTGTTTTTTTCTTTCGAGATGAGGTCTAAAGTAGACCCGGCTGGCAGGGCGTGGTGGTGCCACGACTGTAATCCCAGTACTAGAGAGACTGCTCTGGGGTTCAGGTCACCTAATGAGTTGGGATACATGAGCTCTCCATCTCTAAAATAATAATAATAATAATAATAATAATAATAATAACAATAATAATAACGATAATAATAATAATCTGGGCGGTGGTGGCACACGCCTTTAATCTCAGCACTCGGGAGGCAGAGCCAGGCGGATCTCTGTGAGTTCAAGGCCAGCCTGGGCTACAGAGTGAGTTCCAGGACAGGCGCAAAGCTACACAGAGAAACCCTGTCTCGAAAAACCAAAAATAATAATAAACAAACAAACAAACAAATAAGTAAATACATAGGCTGTCCTCACCGAAGGTGGGGAGGTCTCAGGAATGTGAGAAACGGGCAAGCGCAGCAAAAAACCGAAAAGAGCAACCCACCCCGGGCATGCGCAGTGGCGCCGAGGAAGCCAAGGCGGAAGTGCCGGTAGGAAGCGGGTTCCTCGGTCCCCGGCCCGGCCCGGCCCTGACGAGCCCAGGAAGCTGGCTCCCCGGTCCCTCACCCGGGGCCCGACTTCCCACCCAAGCCTCAGCCCCACTCCCTCCGCCCCGCCTCCGCCTCTGCCAGGCTTCAACATGGCGCCGGCCACGCGCGGACGTGGCGCCCTCCCGACCCCCGGGCCTGCGGGGCCACCCCCTCCGCCTCCGCCTTGACCCTGTTCCCGCCGAGCTTCCTTCCACTCACCTCAGCAAGTCCCGGGTTCTTTCCGCGCCGAGACGGAGGCCGTTTGCCACGCCCGTTTGCCAGCGACTGGGGACTTCTCACGCCGACCTCCGCCGGAACTCGTTATTGGCAGCAGCAGATTCGCCACCGAGAGCTGCTCTTTTTTTGTTGTTGTTGTTTGTTTGTGTTTTGCTTTGGGAGACAGGGACTCACTATGTAGCTCTGTAGACCAGGCTGGCCTTGAACTCACAAAGATCCACCTGCCTCTGCCTCCTGAGTGCTGGGATTAAAGTCCTGAGCCCTTCTCCCATCTCTTGAATTACTTGAAGAAAAAAAAAAATGATTATATACATTCAGCAATCGGAAGTGGATATTTTAAGGATAAAGAGACTTCGGGTTGTTTGCTTTTCATCACGATAAAAACTTTTAAATTGTTTAATTGGTATATTACCAAATGCACAGTTAGTTTTTCCGAGGCCAGTTTATCTTGCGAATCTGGCTACACTGAATTCTCTCCTAGAAAATGTTGGTGATCTTAACGTGAAGATTTTTCGTACATTTCCCACAGTTGTACCACTCTCTAGACTTTAGAACGTCACGTTTAGTGTTGGGCGAGGTGGGCACGCCTGTCATCTCAGCACTTGAGAGTGTGAGGCAGGAGGATGGCCAGTTACAGTCCATACAGTGAAACTCGTCTCAAAGACGAAGCTGGAAAGACGGTTCCAGGGATCAAGAGCGCTGGCTGCTGGTACAGAGGACCTGGGTTCGGTTCCCAGCACCCGCATAGTCGCCGACAGCAGTCTGTAATTGCAGTCCCAGGCGATCTAACGCCCTCTTCTGGTTGCCCCGGGCACTGCAGGCATGAGTTCTGCCACCAACCAACCGATACACATGAAATAAATGAATCAATAACTGTTAAAGGGGGAAAAAAGGAACAATTAAACGAAAAAAGGATCTTTCCACCTCCTTCCCTCCCTTTTTCCTGGGCAATCCTCCTGCTTACGAGTCCTCGGAATCCAGGCCTACAATTTTGAGTGGTTGACCTGAGCATTTTTGTTTGTTTGTCTTATGGAGACAGTTTTGTTTTTTTGTGTACCTCTGCCTGTGTGGAACTCACTCTGTAGCCCAGGCTGGCCTCGAACTCACATAGATCCTCCTGCCTCTGTCTCCCCAGTGCTGGGATTAAAGGCATAGCCTGGTCTACAGACTGAGTTCTAGAACATCCAGGGCTAAAGAGAGAGACCCTGCCTTGGAAAAGAACAGAAAAAGAGGAAGACAAAAAGTCTGTTACTGCTGATGCACACAGGCTCAAACAAGTGCTCCAGACACCACTCTTCCTGCACACGGCACCTGATCCTTCCCCTAAGAGTTTAAAGATGGACTCCTCAGTCTAGGACAGCTCCAGAATACTGGCTGTTTCCCTGAATGAATGAACACGATGTCTAGAACCCAGAAAAAGGGCTGGAGAGATGGCTCAGAGGTTAAGAGCACAGGCTGCTCTTCCAGAGGTCCTGAGTTCAATTCCCAGCACCCACATGGTGGCTGAAAACCATCAGTAATGAGATCTGGTGCCCTCTTCTGGCCTGAAGGGACACATGCAGGCAGAACACTGTGTACATAATAAATAAAATATTTAAAATAAAATAGAAGCCAGAAAAGCCACCCTGAAGGAACCACTCAGGCAAGAGCTGGTGTCACAGAGAGTCAGGGGACCAGGACGATTTGCCCACGGCTGGTGGAACATTCCTGTTTGTGGGTGCCAGCCCCCAACACTTCCAGTTCCGCTTTGATTCTGTGTGACCCCCTCACCCACTTCCTTGTGTTTTCTGTTTCCACTGTTTTCTTGTCCGACTTAACTCTCAAGGGAACCGTGGTTTTCAAGAAGAAAAAAAAAAAAGCGAAGTTGACAAGTTTCTGAAGGACAGTAGAGTATGTGGGGAGAGGAGAGAGAGCAGGTTGAGCTGGGAAAGGAACGGACATCCAAGGCTTGGTGTGGATTTCTCAAAAGGGAGGGTTGCCTTGAAATTACTTTGTTTTATTTGTTTGTTTCATTTTATTTATTTGTTTTTGAGAAAGGATCTTTCTGTATAGCCCTAGTCGCATATTTCTTGGAACTCACTGTATAGACGAGCCTGGCCTCGAACTCAGATCCACCTGCCTCTGCCTCCTGAGTGCTGGGACTAAAGGTGTGCACCAGGAGGCCCAGCTGTTTTTTACAGACCTGCCATATGTGTGCTTGTTTTGTGGTGCTTGGATTGAACCCAGGACCTTGCACATGCTAGGTAGGTGCTCTGCTGTTAAACTACATGCCAAGCCCTGTTTTTTGTTTTTGTTTGTTTGTTTTTGGTTTTGGACTCTTTATTTTGGGAGAGGATCTCACTTGGTTGCCCAGGCTAGAATCGAACTCACTCTGTAGCCCAGAAAGGCTTTGAAGTTGGAAACTTCCTGTCTCAGGCTGCCAAGTGCCCGAGGCTCCAAGTCTGGACCACCAAACCTTGTAATGCATACTTTGTTCATTATCCTGTGTCTACTGTTGATCCTGTTTTTATTGCCTTGGTCCTAAGTAATTGCGTAGAGTTGAACAACTTCTTTTTTCTTGTATTTGGCAATGAAAATAGCTTATGATGAAACTAACCTTGGTCAGCCAGGCGGTGGTGGTGCATATTTTTAATCCCAGCACTCGAGAGGCCAGGCAGGTGGATCTCTGAGTTTGAGGCCAGTCTGGTCTATCAAGTCAGTTCCAGGACAGCCAGGGCTGCACAGAGAAACCCTGTCTCAGAAAAAAGAAAACTACAATAAATAACACTGGTTGAATACCTCATCTCTGTCACATGTGTCCTCAACAATCCACAGCAATCTTCTAAAACATCCTTATTCCCATTTTACAGTTGGGAAAACTGAGCCCCTAAGTCAGGAGTAATGTGACCACAACACAGCCCACAGAGTGGCAAAGCCAGCGTTTGAACCTTTGCACTCCGCTCTAGACATCACTGTCTGGATGGATGCACCGTCAGTATGGATTCCAAATATTGACCTGCAACTCTCAAGAGGATGAGGCAGGAGGATTGCCAGGAGTTTGAGAACGGACTGGCTAAATAGTGAATCCCAGGCCAGCCAGAGGTTACAGAAAGAGACTGTCTAAATAAAAAGAAATACACACATGATTGAGTAGAAACAAACACCTGTGTTACCTAGAGGGCTTTGTGACAAAAACACCCCTGTGGCATCCTTGGTGTTTCTGAATCAGTGAAGGGACAATTTGCGTTTCTCTTTTTCCCTCACTATTGGTGCAGGGGGTAGGAGCATCTGAGGCTTTGGGGCTGAGGACTGGACCTCGGGTACTCTGTAAAGTTCCCACACCAGGCTACCTTTTCCTTCCCACACTTTGAATTTCTAAAAAGTGTCCAGGGGCTTGGGAGATGGGTCAGTGGGTAAAAACACTTGAGTCCACATAAAAGCCTGCTGCTGGAGTGGTGTCCACCTCTGTAATCCTTGTTCCCCTGTGGAGGGACAGGAGGCAGACAACAAACAGAATCTGAAAAGGCTAACTCACCTGACTTATGCCAGACAAAAACAACAGTCTTGTCTCTCTCTTTTTTTTAATTCATCATTTTATTTTACGTGCTTTTGAATTGTGCCTATAATGTATGTTATGTGCGCTATGTGCATTCCCCTGACTGGAGGAGTGAGGAAAAGGTATGAGATCATCGGGAACTAGAGTTACACATGGTGTGAGTGCTGGGACTCAAACCCTGTCCTCTAGAAGATGCTAAGCCAACTCCCCAGTCTCCCTGGCCACTGCTATTCTGAGATACTGACTCACTATGGAGCCCTGGCTGGAAGGCACCATATTAAACCAAGCTGGCCTCTGCCTGCCTGCCTCTGTCTCCTGAGTGCTGGAGGTTAAAGGTAGGTACCACCACATCACCCAAACCTTTGGTTTTTATATCAAAAGTATCAGTCCTCAAGGCAACACATTTTGTTTTGTTTTGTTTTGTTTTGTTTTTTTTTTTTTGGTTTTTCGAGACAGGGTTTCTCTGTGTAGCTTTGCGCCTTTCCTGGGACTCACTTGGTAGCCCAGGCTGGCCTCGAACTCACAGAGATCCGCCTGGCTCTGCCTCCCGAGTGCTGGGATTAAAGGCGTGCGCCACCACCGCCCGGCCTCACATTTTGGTATTTTGCTCTTGCTTTTGTTTGGCTGGTTGGTTCTTGGTTTTGCAAGACAGGGTTTCTCTGTGTAGCCCTGGCTGTCTTGGAACTCGCTCTGTAGACCAGACCAGCCTTGAACTCAGAGAATCACCTGCCTCTGCCTCCAGAGTGTTGGGATTAAAGGCGTGCACCCCCGCCACTGATTTCACTCTTGAGGAAGCGCCCCTCGAAGCTTTAAAGGGAAAGAGGGGCTTACCTTTAAGGCAGGGTCGTGTTTAGAACTTCACAGATTGTTGCTATCTAATAATGCTCTCCCTCCCTCCCACCTCGAGGCCCTTTCTTAGAGCAAATGCCATTGAATGGAGCTGTGTGAGCTGAGTGTCAGCTCCTGATGCTGACCGAGTGCTGCCATCTTTTCTTTTTACTTCTTTTTAATAACAGGAAGCTGATCTCCCTTTCCTGCCTGGGAACTCATCTATTCTGGACATTTCCTAGAAAGGAAGCCGTGTGGCTGTGGCTGTTCACGCCGGCTTCTTCCCCTTTAGCAGCCGGGTTTTCAAGGTTCATTAACGGCGCCCCTTGCATTTTCTCGCTCACAGGTATTGAGATATAACTGGGTAGCCAACAAGATAGCTAGCTGAGTGCTAAGAGGCCCGGATGCCATGCTCCACCAACTGCTCCCCAAGCCCAGCCCAACGGCTGCCAGCTGTTTTTTGTTACACAATTGGAAAAACAAAAAAAAACCTGCAATAGAGACCTGGATTTCCCCTCCCCTGGCATGCAAATTCGATAGCTGGAAAGCTCCAGTTTGCAAAGGGAAAAAGTTGTGAGCTTTTTTTTTTTTTTTTTTTTTTAACCCTCTTTCCATGACCACCCTGGAAAGTCCGCCCCTGTCTCTATGGAAACCAGGCTTCTCACGCGCCCGTCACCAAGGGCGGAGCTGCGGGTGGCTCCTCCCCCCCCACCCGCGGGCTACCAGGCCTCGGGTCCTCTGGTGCCCCTTTCTCGCCGCTTTGCTTCCCACGGTCCCTGCTCCGTGTCCCTCACATCTGGCGCACCGCTGTGCGGCTGCGCGCGCTTTTCCGTGGTCCGGTGCCTCCCGCGACTTCGGTGCATTCTTCCCCGGGGCCACCCGGACTGCGCACGGCGCACGGCGTGGGCTCGGTCCCGCGCTAAGTTGTCTTGACCCCAGAGCCAGCGGACGCCTAGGTGACAGCAGCCCCAGAGGTCGCCGGGGTCGGGGTCACCATGGAGGAGCCCCCGGTGCGGGAGGAGGAGGACGGGGAGGAGGACGAAGGCGCCCTGGCCAAGAGCCCCCTAGAGCTGACCACCGACGACGTGTACGACATCTCCTACGTGGTGGGCCGCGAGCTGATGGCCCTGGGCAGCGACCCCCGCGTCACCCGGCTGCAATTCAAGATCGTGCGTGTGATGGAGATGCTGGAGGCGCTGGTGAACGAGGGCAGCCTGGTGGCGGAGGAGCTGAGGATGGAGAGGGACAACCTCAGGCAGGAGGTCGAGGGGCTGCGCAGAGCCGGTGCGTCCGGAGACCAGGTGAGCGGCAACCCAAGCCTCCGGCTGGAAGTTTGCCCGCAGTTGACAGTCACGGAGTACCTACTAAGGGTCCGAGCCTGCCTGCGGGGTTCCGTGTCAGTCGCCTACCGCTCCGGTTTTGAATTTACTTTCTTTCTTTATGTAAAAATGTTATTTTAACCTTTTTTTTTTTTTTTTTTTTATGTGTCCGGGCGTTTTGCCCTCAAGTACTTCTGGGCTCCACATGCGTGCAGTGCCCGAGAAGGCCAGAAGAGGGCGTTGAATCTCCTACCATGGATTTATGGATGGTTGGGAGCCGCCATATGGATGCTGGGAATCGAACCTAGGTCCTCTGCAAGAGCAGCCTGTGCTCTTAACTGCTGAATTATCGCTCCAAACCCATTTTACTTTCTCTTGTAAAAAGGTTTTTTTTTTTTTTTTTTTTTTTTTTTTTTTTTTTTTTTTTTTTGAGACAGGGTTTCTCTGTGTAGCTTTGGAGCCTTTCCTGGAACTTGCTCTGTAGACCAGGCTGGCCTCGAACTCAGAGAGATCCGCGATCCGCCTGGCTCTGCCTCCCGAGTGCTGGGATTAAAGGTTTGCAGCACCACCACCCAGCTTTTCTTTGTTTTTTGTTTTTTTGGGTTTTTTTTTTGTTTGTTTGTTTGTTTTTTGTTTGTTTGTTTTAGACAAAGTTTCTCTGTGCCTTTGGAGCCTGTCCTGGAACTCTCTCTGTAGCCCAGGCTGGCCTTGCCTGCCTCTGCCTTCCGAGTGCTGGGATTAAAGGCCTGCGCCACCGCCTCCCTTTAGCCTTGCCCACTGCATCTTTGACTTTGGCCTCCAGCAGTGGCTTCAAATGTTAGCACACTTCAGAATGACTTTCTAAGAGTGATCTTGAAAAGAGACCTTTAGTACCTGACAGGC